ACAGTCTGCTAATAAATCTGTGTGTGCTATCTGTGAGTTCAGCTCTCCAACTAGCCTGGGTGCATGAATAGAGGGCATTGAAGTTCCAGATGGCCATGGATGGTCACGTTTCAGATTTGTGGGTTGTTTTGGTGACTGTCATACTGCTTGATTCCCTTTTTTTTCTTTTTTGTTTTTTAAATGGTTATTGTTAGTATATGTGTATGTGTGTGTGTCTGTGCTGCACATGCCACAGCCTGTATGTGGACAGAGAACAACTTCATACATCAGCCTACTCCTTCCACCTTTGAGTATGTTCTGGGGGCTGAACTCGGGTCCTCAAACTTTCAAACCAAGCACTTTTCCCCATAGAGTCAGCCTCATGGCCTACTGATAGCTTCTTTAGAAAAAAAAATACTGTGCTGCTACTGTAACTAGGTAAGATAGTTAAAGATGAAAGAAAAAAATGGTGCATGCCTTTAATTCCAGCACTTGGGAGGCAGAGGCAGGCAGATCTCTGTAAATTCGGGGCTAGCCTGGTCTACAGAGCAAGTTCCAGGACAGGCTCCAAAGCTACTCAGAGAAACCCTGTCTCCAAAAACCAACAACAAAAATGAAAGGCAAAATGAGGAGCCATATAAAGGAAGGCAAAGCAGCTGAGAGATAAGATACATTTATGAATGGATTCTAAACTGACAGAGAAATAAAAACCAGAAACACTAGCGGTTATTCCATTCTTGCTGTCTGAAGAGAGGAAACAAGATCTACTCCTGAGGAAATGTGATCTTTTTTCCTCCTGTTCAACTCTGGATGAAATGTATCAAACCCTAAAAGTCAAGACTGAGCAAAAGCAGACCTAATCTTCAAGTGAGTTTTCAAAGATACTGAGAGGGGGATCTGGGGCAGGCAAGACAGACAGGTTCCGGTGCCTTGCCCTCATGCCCAGCTATTTGGAGTTCACTCTCCAGCACCCACATGTTGGAAGAACCAGTTCCTCTGACTCTCCTATAGAGGCTGTGGCACTTGTGTACAACATACACACACTATAATAAAGTAAAAATGAAAAAAAAAAGGGATTTTCTTTTTCCTGATTTTTGTTGTTCTGTTTCCTGAGACAGGGTTTCTCTGTGTAACAGCTCTAGCTGTGGTTCTAGAATTCACTCTGTAGGCCAGACTGGCCTTCAACCCACAGAGATCCACCTGCCTCCGGAGTGCTGGGATTAAAGGCGTTCGCCATCATGCAGGCTCCTGAAAATTTCTTATGTCTACCTTCTAAGAGATTCAGACTGACAACCTTGAAATTTGACTCACTGGAGGCATTCTTTCTTTCTTTCTTTTTTTTTTTTTTTTTGGTTTTTTGAAAGAGGGTTTCTCTGTATTGTTTTGGAGGCTGTCCTGGAACTTGCTCTATAGACCAGGCTGGCCTTGAACCCACAGAGATTTGCCTGCCTCTGCCTCCGGAGTGCTGGGATCAAAGGTGTGCGCCACCAACACCCGGCTAGCTTTTTTTTAAATTAAAAATTGAATTTTTTATTTATTAACTTTCTATCTCTGTGTGCATGTGTATGCCATTGCACTCATGCAGCGGTTCTACCATGAGGGTTGTGGAGATGGGACTCAGCTCAGGACTTCACCCACTGAGACATCTTACCAGTCTGTCAGCTGCCCAGAATGTAAGCAAAGCCTGGATATGTGTCTCTTGGGATGAAGAAAGGGTGGGCTACAGAGGGAGATCTCTTTAAGGTGAAGGGAAGGGGAGGCGTGGGGAGTAGGAACAGACCTTTCTACTTGCCATTCTGTCTTCCCCTTCCTAGGAACCCGACAGAATTATCCACTCTGCCCGGAGGCCCCTTCTCCAGCCACATCCCCTTGAAAAGGATACTGGGAAACAGTCTGTCACCAAGGCCCCCCCCCCCCAGGGCAGAATCCTGAGAAAGGCTAGAGGATCATCCTTTAATGAGTTCTACACTTTTGGTCAGTTGGCCTTGCTTCCAAAAACCAAGTAACGAATAATTAGATGACTCAAAAAGACTTTTCCATTTTTGGTTTTATTTGGGGCCTTTAAAGAAAAAGAGAAAGAGAGAGAGCGAGAACAACTTTTTGTGGATAAGAGACCCAAACAAGCAAATAATAAGTTACAGATTGTTGTGTTTTAAATCCCTTCTAGACAATATCTTGAGGAAACTTGCCTGGGGCTCTGAGGCCCAGGAGCTATGGGGGTGGTGTGAGTCCTGCCCATCCATGCCCATCCCAGTGTCCACGTGGGAGTGGCCAGCAGTGGCCAGCTCATGACCCACCAAAGATCCAGGTCCATAGATTATTGAAAATCTAAACAGTGGGTCTAAGATGAGAGGTCAAGGCCAAAGGTATAAGCCCCTGCCTGACACAGCTTTGGCTTTTTTGGTATTTGGATGGCAGCAGCTTCCATGTGCTTCCTGCTGGGATGCGAAGGGTGACTAGAGCAGGCAGGGCTGGTTCCTGTGTGGTTCAGGGACCTCTGAGCCTTCCGAGTTCCCTGCCCTTGCCTCTCTGGGGGCTGGGAGGGGGCCTTTTTAGGAGAAAGAAGGAAAGCAGGGGTTCTTCTCCCCTCCTCTAAGAAATCAGCCTGCCCTTGTTCCTAGTGAGGTTCCTTCTGGGTCAACAGGAACTGGGTCTAGTACTAGGATATACGTACTGGACTCATTTTCAGGTCTCAGGCAAGCCAGCATCATGGACCCAGGCCCCCTGCTTTCCTGGAATTAGGGGAAGGGGATTTATCAGGACTGTGCTGGCTTCTCTGCTCTGAACTCCCTCCAAGCCCTGATTGGAACATTTGCCAGTTTATGAACGTTAATAACCTAATAAGGAACCCCAGCCAAGATATGGAGTTGGACTAGATGTCCGCCAACAGAATAGACAAAGAAAACGTGGAGGGAGCAGACAAGACAGCTCAGCACTCTTGCCAAGCCTGATGACCTGGGTTCTAGCTCCGGGATCCACACAGTGGAAGGAGAGAACCAGCTCCCACACAGGTGCCATAGCCCATGTGCCCCGCCCCCACACCCCTCCTCCAGCAGAGGACCTCAGTTTGGTCTTAGCAACCCTTGACCACCTATGAGTCCAGCTCCAGGGCCTCCAGCATCCTCTTCTGATTTCCTCAGGCACCCCACACACACATACCCATGCACACACAAGGAGAAGCAATACAAACAATAAAAGCAAATCTTCTTAAAGCCCCCCAAACAAATAAGAGAATACTAAATGTAAAGAGCCCCAAGGCTGGGAGTGTACTTCAATAGTAACATGCTTGCTGCTATGTAACTTGCTTGCTCCTGCACAGCGAGTGTTGTGTTCTATCCTCAGCATCAGGATGGAGCCCCATGTATCAGATGTGCTCTCTCTGGTTTCCTTCACCAAAAGGATCTGGATGGGTCTCAGCAAGACTTGGCCAAGCAAGTGTACACGCTGCTGCTGCAGTCTGAAATGACTGACACCATCAGATAGAGAGCGTGGAGACACTGTAAGGGCAGTGGTGTCGATGGTGGCATCCAGTGAAGCTGGTGGCCAAGCAACCTATGCCAGCCCGGGTCACTGCGGCACGGGACATCTCTTCTGTAACTATACCTACGGCCTTGACTGTGATCCTCCCTGTCTGGTCCCTGTGCTTGCTTGCAGGCTTTTTTGTTGTTGTTGCTGCTGCTGCTGCGTTACTGCCATTAATTTTTTAAAGCAGGATCTCATGTACCCCAGGCCGGTTTTGAACTCTGTGTAGCTAAAGTAGCTAAGAAATACTCTGAGAACGTCCCTGCCTCCATTTCCCAAGTGTTGGTGTTATAGAAACATGAATTACCATACTGGATTTATGCAGTGCTGAGGATAGAACCCAGAGCCTCATGCATTCTAGACTAGCAACCCAACCCAACCTTGAATTTCTGATCTCCTTCCTCTGTAGTCCAGAGTGCTGGATTACAAGCAGGTACCACCAGGTCTGCTTTATGTAGCACTGGGGGTTGAGCCTAAGGTTCTATCCGTGGTAGGCAAGCACAGTATCAGCCAAGCTCCATCTGCAAGCCTACAAACCTGGTGTTTTCTGAGTCAGTTCTAAACTTCCTGTGACTCTGAGTTGTCTAATAGTGTTTTCAATAAATTGCTTAAGTCGTGTTGGTTTCTGTTGCTTGCAGCCAAGACCTCTGACTATGATCATCTGCATCTGGTTACGTCAATCATTTTAATCATTTCCTATTTTATTTTTGCCTTTGCCCTCCTGGAAATTCTATAAGTAATCCAGAAAAGAAAGAATGTGCATTCAGAAAGTTTAACCTAACCACAGCTGAGATACGAGCCTGAACACCTGAGTATCCAAGCACCAGGTCTCTAACTTTGTTAGGTTGTGGTGACTGTGTGATGAAGGGGACAGAGGCTGTAAGACATCTGTCACCACAGCTGGGCAGTGGTGGCGCACACCTTTAATCCATGCACTTGGGAGGCAGAGGTAGGCAGATTTTCATGAGTTTGAGACTAGTCTGGTCTACAATGCGAGTTCCAGGACAGACAGAGCTGCACAGAGAAATCCTGTCTTGAAAAAACAAAACCACACACACACCACACGCACACACACACACACACACACACACACACACACAAAACGTAGAGGCACGTGGATCTCTGAGTTTAAGGCCAACCTGGTCTACAGAGTGAGTTCCAGGACAGCTAGGGCTACACAGAGGAACCCTGTCTGAAAAAAACCCAAAATAATAATAATCATCATCTCTAACATGGTTATAACATGATAATGACTGTCCACAGCATTTAAAGGTCATGAAAGCTTGGATCAAGTTTCCCTTGTCTGCCTGAGTGCCTAGGTCATTTGAGAGATGTAGTAAACAAAATAGAAAGGCAACAATTCAGGGAAGAGAAACTTAATATAGCCGTAATGTCTCTTTATAAAAAGAATTGTCTCAGCTACGTGAGAGCTAAAGATTAAGGCCTGTGAACAGAGCCAGCGCCTCAGATTTGCAGGTGTTGATTGAGCCGAGAGAGCCTGAAGCTTTCGCCATCAGCCACTCAACGGGAGAGCGGCTTCACTCCCAAGTAGGCAGAGCTGACTTGGGTCCAGCCCAGATGGCATGCCAGTCCATTTCTTCTTGGAAGGGGGCCTCAAGAATGCCTGTGAGCAGAATCGAGATGCTCTCCAAAAAAAGCATCTGGATCTGTTTCAAAGGTGTTGGCGGGCTGCGAAGAGGCCGTCTGCGGCTACAGTCAAGCACAGCGTTCCAGCTACCTTGACCATCGGAGTATTCGAGCGCCACTTGTAGTAAGCCTGGCTTACAGGAACACTCTTACTTTGAATTTTCTTTGTGTGTGTGCTGGGGCGACGGGGTGCGTGGGTGGGGGAGGGCAGTATCTTGCTCTATAGCCCCAAATGGATCAAACTCCTGATTCTGCCTCTGCCTTCTGAATGCTAGGATTACAGTACTGTGTTAATTTGAGTCTGGGTCCTCAAGCATGCATTTGTTCTAAACTGAAACAGGTATTTTTTGTTTTGTTTTGTTTTGTTTTCAAGACAGGGTTTCTCTGTGTAGCCCTAGCTATCCTGGAACTCACTCTGTAGACCAGGCTGGCATCGAACTCACAGAGAACCACCTGTTTCTGCCTCCTGAGTCTGGTATTAAAAGTGTGTGTGCACCACCATGCCTGGTCAGGTACTAGCTCTTGTTTAAGGAAATGGGCAGTGAAACTTTAATTTTTTTTATTACGTCCATTTGTATGTGTGCATATGTTCAAGTCAGAGGACAACTTGCTGGAGTTGGGTTCTCTTCTATCGTGTGGGCTCGTCAACCTTGGTTGCAAAAGACTTTATCCATCAAGCCTGTAACTAGCTGTAACAAATTCTCGTGTTCTGGATTTAACACCCCTGCTGTTGCAGGTAGAGTTTACAGCATCCCACACACCAATTTCTCATCTGAAATGTGACATTTCTAGTATCACATTGTCCTTCAAAAGTCCTATGGCCCCAGTCTGTATTTGGCCACAGTAGATACAAATGGTCCTCGGTGTGGCCATGTTTTAGAACAGCCCAACCTCTATCCTCCTGGGAACTTTCTCAAGGTTGACTGGAGACCTCGCAGTGATCAATTCAAAAGGCAGAAAATCTCAGCACCCTTTAAATGGCAACCCTATAGCCCCTTATAGACCTCCCCCCACCCCGTGTCCTTTTTAATCGGAGGCAGAGATGTCAAGAAGAGGACTGTGTAAGCTCAGCATGCAATATTTCTCCCACTGAGCTGCACTCCCAGCTCAAGTTAGAGACACTTCCAACTGCTTTCCAAGGAAACAACAACCATCCTGGGTTTATTCTCAAATTCGCACTGATGAGCAGGAGATGGTCATTGTGACCTTTCCCACGCTATCTGGGAAGTGTCTTACACACCTCAAACCTGTCCTGCTTGGTTTTAGCGTTTGGACCCAGTGACAACTGCTTTTCCTCTCTGGGGACTCCTTTTGTCCTGTGTTTCCAGCTACAAGCAGATTTGAGGGAGGCCCATAGGAAAAGCAGGCAAGAATGGCCTACTTATTTCCTCTACTTCTTCCCTGGGGAGAGGCCAGTCATTCCCAGAGTAGGGGCAAAATAGAGAAGGGAATGAAAACATGTAAATCCCAGCAGGGGAGCAGGGAAAGGAATGGCAGCAGGCGCTGGGACTCAGCTGCCAGCAATAATCTAATGCCCTGCATCGCTGTGGGGAGAGGAGCCAAGACTTCCCAAATCCAGGCGCCCCAACAGGATTGCAAAAGACACACCCATCGGCCCACAGACAGACAGCGCTGCTCAGAACCCGTGAGACACCTTGGGAAGCTGCCCACGTTCCTGGAGACCTCCCCTGTAAAAAGCTGTCTTTGTCCAAGGCAGACCATTGAACCCCCGGCATGGTGTGCAGAGCTGTTGAACAGAACGGGAAGGGGGCGGGTGTTTTTGATGAGAGCTCCGTTGCAGAAATTTTGTCCTCCGCTTTGTTGCAGGGCTAGCCGCCAGTTCTTCCCCGGGTGGCAGCAGGCAGGGCGGACTGAGCAGGCACGCAAAGGCGCTGGGAGAGCTTTGATGTCAACAGAGGTAGGCAGGGCAGGCCCCTGTGGAATACTGTGAAGTCAGCACAGTTATCTCTGGCACTCCTCCCTTTCCTAGCTTCCCATTTCTCCACCCATTTCCCCCCTTCTCTGCTTCCAGCTTCGCATTTCCCAGAGGGACCCTGGAATATATGAAAACCCGCTGTCACCAGATAGGAGCGCCCACCCCCACCTCCACCCCCACCCCCCGACTCCAGGCTCCAACTATCGCAGTCTAAAACAAACAAAGGCTCCAGTTCCAGGTTCCATACATTTCCTAAGAAAGCCAGCGCGGGAACCCTGCCCTTTGTGCGCCCGTGGTGAAACCCTGAGGAGTTTGGGGCCTCAAGTTTGAAGTGGTCTTTCTGTCTCCTGGGGCTTTAGAAGGACTCCAAAGTGCCTCAGACCAACACAGCTGCTTGCTTGGTGGATAGCTCATATTTAAACCACAAATTATAAAATGATAAATTCGCTGCGCAAGTCTCTTCCAGGAAAGACCATGTTGTCAAGATACTGTTACAACCTCATGGCCGTCGGAGCCTGTCTAGCTGCTGACTAAGTCTTACACCCAGTCTCCCGCCTAGGAGGTTGGTTTTTTTTTTTCTTCCCCCTTTACTGATTTTCGTTGTTTCTGCCCGAGTGACCTCGGGCAGAGAGATCTTGGGGGCTGCTCAGCCCTGGAGCAGGGAGCTTTATTATATAATGGCTGCTTGCGCTTGTTTCCCCGAGCAGGGAAGTTTAAGAAACATCTTTGTTCTTGGGCACTTAACTGCAGAGAACAGCGAGAAAGGGCTTCACATGGGCAGCTGCTGCAAGCACTTCAAACACCGGCTGGAATGTGAAGTTTGTAGTAAAACAGAGCTGTCGAAGGAATCTGGGTCCTAAAGTATCTGTTCTGTGATCAGTGCAAGATTGCAACACGTAGTTCACTGCCCTTTGGAATTCTCTTTCAGGGTCTGTTCTGGTGACAGAGTGGGACAAGTAATTAGGCCACATGCATGCCTTGTAATGAGTTCCCTGCTGGAGTTTTGACAAACACAAGGAGAGACGGGAATGATTGTCCAAGGCAGTGACCTGACCTCCTTGCAGGCTCAGTCACATTGACCTCCATTTGATTACCTGGGGCTGCGGGAAGCTGCTCTATCAGGCTTCCAGTTTCCCTGAACCATGCCTCAGTTACACAATCATGACGGTGTTTCTCCAAGGCCACTCCAGCTGAGAGGGCCAGCGGGTCGTGAGTCATAATCGCTTCAGCATCCATCTTCTCCCAGATTTGGGTCCTGTTGGTTTTACACTTTAGGTCTTCCATCCTTCTTGTCCTTGGCGTCCTTGGGTCCTGGGTGGCAGTTAATGCTCTCCAGTGTCACTACGTGTTATCGCCCGACCCACCCACTCCAGGCGCCACCACAGTGCTGCTCCTGTTTCTGCTTTTCCTAAAGTCAGCCCCGCTGTCATTACTGCTGCTTTTTCTGGGATCTCTCAAGTTGTGGAGAGAGTTCTTTTCCTGTGATTATAGCTCTTTCTTCCAATTTTGACTAGTCTGGCGTCTCTGTGATTATAGTTCATTAGGACTCCCAAGGCTAGAGAAAGAACTTTTTTTTTGTTTTTAAACACTATCTCGTTTGTATTTTTAAAATAACATTTATTATACCTTATTTTTTTCACAGTGAGCTATTAAAAAACAACAACTCTCAGTAGTAGTTCTCAGTTTCTCAGTTTCCATAATCCTTAGCAGTATTTTTTAGAAATAAAAGCAATATACACATTGGCTAAAGACTAAAACAGTAAAGAAAAAGGGGGCAAGTAAAGGAAAAATAAAAAGTCCCTTACTCTGTTGATGGTGGCACACACCTTTGATCTGAGCACTTGGGAGGCAGAAGCAGGCAGATCTCTGTGAGTTCAAGGCCAGCCTAGTCTACAGAGTGAGTTCCAGGACAGCCAAGGCAACAGAGAAACCCTGTCTTCGGGGAAAAAAACAAAAAACAAAAAACCAACAACTACAATAAGAAAAATAAAGTTCCATTTTCTTCACTGTCTTCCAAAAGCATAGCCACAGAGGCATTATTTTATTATATTAATAAAGATTATTAATAGTATCTTTATTAATATAGTTTGTGTATGTCCTCCCAAAACTTTACATAAGATCCTACAATCTTCATTATCCTTCACCTCACTTTTCACACAAAATGCCTCCTCACAGACATCCAAGATTTAGTCTATCCCTTTAATGTCTACATTGTCTTTCTTAGAAGAGAATGTACTTTCCAGGTGAAAGGCACTCGGTGTCACTCCTGGGTCCCGTCTGTCCCTTCCTGCATTCTGTGTCATCTATCTGATTATTTATCAAGTTTAGGGAGATAGAAAGTGTGTTTTAGGATCAACTCTGCTCTTAAGATTGAGTCACCTACTGGGAGTGGTCCCTCTGCTCCCTGAGAATCGGGCTGGACTGACAAAACCCACACACCTCCGGGTTTCAGGAGGAGGAAGCCTATTTCTCCCCTGCTTAATATGAAATAGCAAACCGTGCAGCATCCAACCTAAGCCATTGCTGGGGACATGGGGCCTCGTCTGTTTTTGTTTCACTTTGTTCTGAATCTCAGCAGGGTAAGAAGACTGTTCTTGGGCACTTCAGGGCCCCCCCCCAACATTATCATATAGATGTACAAACTCTAGTTTGCTAATGACGGATGTTCATTGTTTGGTCAACAACACCCCAGTGATCATTTTAGGCAACTACCCTGGTATATATTTTTTTTAAGAAAAATACAAGGGCAGGTGAATTATTTACAGTAGAATTACTCAACCAAAGACATGTGCTTTTTGGTCTAAATCAAGATGAAAGGAAAAAAAAGATCAACCAGCAACATTGATAGGAATTGGGAGGGGTCTGGGGATCGATCAGCATAAAGTGCTTGGCCGGCAAGCATGAGGACCTGAGTTCAATCCCCCAGGACTCACGGAAAAACCAGCTGGATGCAGCAGCATTTGCCTGTAACCAAAGCTCTGGGGAGGAAGAGAGCAGGAGATACACACTCAAAATTGGGGAGGGGGCACCTCTATCACACAGGTGCTATGTTGTTGGGTGCTTTTTTTACTCTTTTGTGGGGCCATCCACCCAGCTCCCAAATAAATACAGGGAAGCGTGTTCTTACTTACAAAAGCCTGACCTTATCTTGGTTCATTTCTAGCCAGCTTTTCTTAACTTGCTATCCCATCTACTACCTTTTGCCTCTGGACTTTTATCTTTCTCTGTTCTGTATACCTTTCTTTATTTCTTACTACATGGCTTGCTGTGTAGCTGGGTGGCTGGCCCGTGGAGTCCTCCTTTCCTTCTTTTCTTGCTTCTCCTCAATCCCTTTCTTTCCAGATTTCCCCTCCCATTTATTCTCTCTGCTTGCCAGCTGTACCTATCTTTTCCTGCCTAGCTATTGGCCATTCAGCTCTTTATTAGGCCAATCAGGTGTTTTAGATGGGCACAGCAACACAGCTTCACAGAGTTAAACAAATGCAGCATAAAAGAATGCCATACGTCTTTGCATCATTAAAACAAATGCTCCACAGCATAAACAAATATAACACATCTTAAACTAATATTCCACAACAATGCTAGGATCAAACCCAGGGCCTTGCATGTACCAAGCAAGGGCTCTACCACTGAGGCACCCACAGCCCATACAAAACTCAACAACTGATTTACTTCTTTGTATAAGATGGGTTCTGGCCAGGTGTGCTGGAACACGCCTTTAACCCCAACATTGGGAAAGCAGAGGCAGGTGGGTATCTATGAGTTTGAGGCCAGCCTGGTCTACATAACAAGTTCCATTCCAGTCAGATCTACATAATATAGAGATCCTGTCTCAAAAAACAAACAAACAAAAAGATGGATTCTGTGCCAAACATGTTATCTGTAGTAATATTTTTTTTATCTTCATTACATTCTTGTAAAGTGGAGATCGGTATTGCCTCCTACTTTTATATTGAGTGTCTACAAATGAAAACTGTTAATGCACTAACCCCAGGTCACTGGTAACTAGAAGAGACTGAAGTCATGTTCATGTCTTTGTGATTCCAAAGGCTGTCATAACCACAGACTACAGGGTATTCCTATGGCTTGGTCTGGCATTTGAAAATGTGTAGCAAATTTTGGGGTCCAACACAAATGCATGTACATGTATAGTACATGTAGTGACATGCATGGAGCACACAGAATCTGCAACCACACATCGTCTAAACCCCAGCTGTGTTTCTTACCAAACAGGTGATCTGTAACCCAGTCTTTTCATCAGCAAAACAGAGATGATTTCCATTGGGTTATTAAATTCTATAAAGCACTTAAATAATACTACCAGGCATCAAGTGAGCCCTCACTAAGTCAAATGAGATAAATTTACTTTACAATTACTTTTCATTCCAAAAGCAGTTGTGTGGGTTCATGACGGTATTGTCACAAGATAATTCCAACAACGTACAAGCATGTGTCACAAAAAGTGAAAGTTTTAGGCTGGAGAGATGGTTCAGCAGCTAATGGCCAAGGCTCAATACCAAAACGACAAAAAGTGAAAGTCTGCCTTTCATTTCCAGATGTTTCTAGGGCCTTTTGGTGACGGAGGCTTGTTTTTCTGCATACATATGTCATTGGGGGTTTTTGTTTGTTTGGGTTTTTTTTTTTTTTTTTATTTTTCGAGACAGGGTTTCTCTGTATTGTTTTGGAAGCTGTCCTGGCACTCGCTCTGTAGACCAGGCTGGCCTTGAACTCACAGAGATCCGCCTGCCTCTGCCTCCTGAGTGCTGGGATTAAAGGCGTGCACCACCAACGCCCGGCTGTTTGGTTGTTTTTGTTGTTGTTGCTGTTGCTTGTTTGGTTTGTTTTTGGCTTTTGAGATGGATGTCTCATGTACCCCAGGCCAGTCTTGAACTTGATATATAGCAACAGTACTTCTGTTCCTTCTGCTTCCCCCTCCTGGTGGAAGGATTCCAGATGTGCTCCATGATCCCTTATTTACAGAGTGCTGTGGATTGAACCCAGGACTTTATGCACAGGAGGGTGAGTTCTCCACCAACTGAACTGCATTGCCAACCCATGTACACAGCTTTATCTGTACACAACTTAAGCACCCGACTAGGAGACTAGCTTAACATAGAGATTAATAAAGGGATGCTGGAACAAGGCTAATATGGACAGTGGGTGTTATGTATATAAAGCCCTTAAAATATTGCCCGGCACACAGAAATCATTTAGTAAATGTTAGTTCTCATAATGATCTGCACACACGCTGTGGTGGTTCGGATGAGATTGGCCCCACAGGTTCATGGATTTGCATACTTCATCCCCAGTCGGTGAACTGTTTGAAAGGATCGGAAGGATTAAGAGGTATGGTCTTGTAGGAGGAAGTGTGTCACTCAGGGTGGGGTTTGAGGTTTCAAAAGCCCATGCTAGGTCCAGTGGCTCTCTGTCTACTGCCTGTGGCTCCAATTAAAGCTCTCAGCTACCGTCAGGCACCATGTCTGCCTGTGAGCTGCCATGTTCCCCACCATCACTGATAATGGACTGAGCCTCTGAAACTATAAGCAAGCTCCCAGTTGAATTCTTTCCTTTACAAGAGTTGCCTTGGTCATGGTGTCTCTCCATAGAGATAGAAACCCTAACTAAGACACATGCTATACCGAGATTTACTTTCTCATAATATATTATAGGGGTATGTACGTATATATGTATATAATATTTTGCTTTATTTCTTTTTTTAAATTTTATTTTCCAGTTTAAATTTAGATAAGAAACAAGGTTGCTTCACAAGTCAGTTCCAGGTCCCTCTCCCTTTCCCTCCCCTCCTCCCGTGCCCTCCCCCCAACCCCCCCTCCCGTTATCCCCTCATTCCCCCAGGAAGGGTGAGGCCCTCCATGGGGGTGTCCATAGTCTGTCTGTCATTTCATATAGGGCAGGGCCTAGACCCTTCCCCAAGAGTTCAGGGTGAGAGTGCACCTCACATTGTTGGATGGGAGTCCAAAGTCCGTGTGTATACTTGGGATAGGATCTGCTGCCCAAGGCTCAATAGATTACCTAGGCCTCCTCACTGACACCCAGATTCAGGGGGTCTTGATCAGTCCCATGCTGGATTCCCAGGCTGATGCCTGGGATTCAAGAGTTAACCTTTGTCTGGTCAGCTGTTTCTGGGAGTTAAACCAGCCCAGTCTTAATCCCTTTAATCATCAGTCCTCCCTCTCTGTTACTGGCTTTCTTGAGTTCAGCTCAGTACTTAACCAAGGGAGTCTGCCTCTTCTTTGATTAGCCACTAAATGAAGTTTCTGTTTCCCAGACTCTCTGGCCATAGGATTGTAGGCTGGCACTCCCCAGATCTATGTCTAAAATCCATATATGATAGAGTACATGCCATGTTTCTCTTTTTGTGACTGGGTTACCTCACTCAGGATGGTTTCTTCTAGTGTCATCCATTTGCCTGCGAATCTCATGATTCCATTACTTTTTTCTGCTGAATAGTACTCCATTGTGTAGATGTACCACATTTTCTCTATCCACTCTTCGGTTGAGGGACATCTAGGTTGCTTCCAAGTTCTGGCTATTACAAATAAAGCTGCTATGAACATAGTGGAACAGACATCTTTGTTGTATGAATGGGCATCTTTTGGATATATGCCTAAGAGTGGAGTTGCTGGATCTTGTGGTAGGTTTATTCCCATTTTTCTGAGGAATCTCCATACTGATTTCCAAAGTGGCTGAACCAGTTGACACTCCCACCAGCAATGGAGGAGTGTCCCCCTTTCACCACATCCTCTCCAGCATAAATTGTCATTGGTGTTTTTGATTTTAGCCATTCTGACAGGAGTGAGATGGTATCTCAGAGTTGTTTTGATTTGCATTTCCCGGATGGCTAAGGATGTTGAGCACTTTCTCAAGTGACTCTCAGCCATTTTAGACTCCTCTATTGAAAACTCTCTATTTAGTTCTGCAGCCCACTTTTTAAATGGGTCCTTTGATGTTTTGGAGACTTGCTTCTTGAGTTCTTTGTAAATTTTGGAGATCAACCCTCTGTCAGATGTGGGATTGCTTTATTTCTTAAAGACTTTAGATATTTACTTATTTAATTTTGTATGTGTGGCTTTGTGTGCACATATGTATGTACATGCGCTGCATGCATGCCTGCTGATGAAGCCAGAATAGAGCATCAGACACCTTAGTACCGAAGTTTCAGATGTTTGTGAACCCCCATGTAGGTGCAGGGAACTGAACCTGGATCCTCTGGAAGAGCATCCAGTGCTCATGACCCCTAAGCCATCTTTTCAGTCCAGCTGTCTCATTTTAAAAGTAGTGATAGTACTTCATACTGCATAAACCACTCTGATTTATTTAATACGTCCCAATTGAGACTCTTTCTAGCAATTGGATCTTTTCTCATCTGATGATATAGAATCCTAGGGTTGATCACCAGCCATAGTGATTTTGCTACCTCACTTATTTAATAAATGCACACATCATTACCTGATGCTGGAGTTTCTTTCCAGCCTGGTCCCACAGCCAATTAGCCCCAAATAAACACACGGATGCTATATTAATTTATAAACTGTTGGCCGACAGCTTATGCTTCTTATTGGCTAGCTCTATCTTAATTATTAACCCATTTCTAATACTCTACATATTGCCATGAGGCTGTAGCTTGTCTGTAATCTGGCATGTTACTCCTTAAGCCACATGGTGCCTCCTTGCAGCCTCTCTCTCCCTTCTTCTCCCCAGACTATAGTCTGCCTATGCTTTCTGCCTGGCTATTGGCCAATCACTGTTTCATTCATCAACCAATAAGAGAAACATGTACACAGAAGGACATCCCCCATCAATTATCTTAACAACATATGCATACTACCAGTGGGTAAAACGAACCTGTTTCATGATAGTCAAATCCCAGCACATTTTCCCCATTACTAGGTGAGTAAATGTAACTCATATAATAACACTACTAAAATAAGGATTATTTAATCACTGTCATCACGGTTGGATGCAGCATCCTGGTACGTGCCAGGGCTCCAGGCATGTACCAACTACCACACTCAACCGTGTTATGTGAGGTGTTTTTTTTGTCCCTGCTGGTCTCAACACCCTCTCTGCCCCAAAGAAGCACGCAGACACTATATTAGTTATAAAGCTGTTGGTCAGTGACTAAGATTTCTTATTGGCTAGATATGTCTTCATTATTAACCCATTTATATTAATCCATGTATTTCCACATGGTCGTGGCTTACTGGTGAATGCTGGACCTGCAACTCCTTTGCCTGCTACATGATGACTGTTCAGCATCTCCACAGAGAAGAGAGCGATTTCCTCTTTGTCCCTGCTTATATCCTGATTCTGCCCAGCTACATCACTTCCTGTCTGGCCAATCACCCAATCAGTGTTTTATTCATTAATCAATAAGAGAAACATACATACAGAAGAACAATCCCCGTCACAACCCAGTCCATACTCTTCCCTCCTTTTTTATACAGGGTGTCACTATGTGGTTCCGGCTTGTCTAGAACTTGCCATGAAGACCAGGTTGGCCTAAAATTATTATAGACCTGCCTGTCTCTGTTTCTCATTGCTGATGTTAGAGGTGGATGCCACCAACTCAGCATGTTGTACTTCTCCAAACCCCGTGGCTTTCACTTCACTGAAACCTCAAATCCTCATCCTGTCACGTTTCACAGCCATCTTATGGACGAGAACTCAGCTTCTTCGGAATATATTTAGGAATCTAAATAATAAGTAACCCAAAAGGCACCATGATTGCCAAATCTATAGTACTCTTCAAATGACCAAGAGCCAGCCTGTCTAAGGGTTGCTACAAAGGACAGCCAGCCAGGCCGAGAAAACCCTTCTGTGGTGATCCTCGCAGTGCTTGCCCTCAGAATGCTCGCTCTGAGTCTGGACCCTCAGTCCTGTGTCTTTGTGCTACGCTGGCCTGCTTGCTGCTGAGTAAACTCACAGTGCGGGGCAGCAGGCAGCCAGAAAGTAAATAAATGATTGTGTTGCAGCTGGTTTTCGAACAATACATTTCCAATTAGGCGGTTCAAAGCTCAACGAAAATACCCTGACTTTTTTCCCCCTGATTATCCTGGGTCTGAGTCTTTCACAACTGATTTGGCCAACTCTTATTCCTAAAATGCTAAGGCTCAGGAGTTTGCCCAAAAAGTTTGCTAGTCAAATATGAAACTTGTCTCTGTTCTCTGTCACGGCTCCCATCCCCACCCTCTAGCGACGTTAGCTTTTAGACATATGTATTAAATGCCTTTTTCTTTAAAGATACGACTGAGATATTTCCTTTGGAGTGTGTCCCAACAGTCTGGAAAGTGCACACTTGACATTAGCCACAGAGAAGCATATTTTTTTTCTAAACTCAAAGGAATGAAAGAAAAAAAAAGTAAGGAAAACTATGTTATGATCAGCAGAAACCAGGACATCTCTCCACATGGAAGACTTTCACGAAGCTCAATGGGTTAATTTTTTTTCATCGTTAGTGGAAAAAACACAAGCATATATTCATAATATAGTATCTGGGAAGTTATTTTAGTAATGATAAGAGTATGTACTTTTATTTCAAAAGCCACTCCTCATCCTAACATACAAAGCCTGCATTTTCCCCCTAAAAATAGCCTCCTATCTCTGGATTATGTTCTTACAGAAAGACAGTTCTGCAGGCCAGCCTTCCTCCATCCTGAAGCTTGACTTTTGGCTCATGGAGCTTCCTGTCCTGTTCCAGCTGTGACATGTTGAAAGGAGACTTGAAAACTGTGGACTTCGCTGTACTCTGTGCGCCTTCGCCATGACTCTGGCCCTCTGGATGTTAGGAGACCGGGTGGGAGGGGAGAGGGAATGGAAATGACCTCGGCTTAGCAGAGAAGGGGGCTTCTAAGGGACCAGTTTCTAGCTTTTGCTGTTTGCAAACAGCCAAGTGGCCAACTTGCCTTTACTCCGGGTGTTTAATCCCACCTTGATCACAGGGATGTAGTTGAGCCATGTGTGGACTGGGCAGGGACAGGACAAAGGGCTTGACTTACCTTTGATCACCGTGCATAAATCTGAAGATTGAATACAAGGAGCTATGTCCTAGCAGAATTGCTAAGACCGAAGTCAAAAGTTGATTGCAAAAGGTTGATTCATTTTCACTTAAATATCAATGAAGAAAAAGAAAAAAAAATCAAACCTGGCACAGTGACTGATTACATGCCTGCAATCCCAGCACTGGGAAAGTGGAAGCCGGAAGATTAAAGAGTTCAGTGTCATCTTTAGCTATAGAGTGAGTTTGAGGCCAGCCTGAGCTACATGAGACTGTCCAAGCAACTGAACAATTCAGTCACTGTAGCCTCCTAGCCCAGTCTCTTCCAGGAATGTCACTTAGTGGACACTGCTATAACCTTTGTCTCCTGCTAAAGGAGTAGAGCCAGCAGCCATGTTTTATGTCATGTGGTCCCAGTCTGATTTCATGGCTGATTAAACCTGATTCTAGGGCAGCCGGTCCCTACACTGCATAAGTTTTTATTGTCTCTGGCTGGGTCTAAAAGCACACTGGGTCCAGTGGTAGTTCTGTTATTATCGTGCCTGCTGTGCTCTCTACACACATATTTAGGACATGCTGTACTAGACAATTTTTTTCATTTATGTATTGTGTGTAGGAAGGGTGGGTGTGTACGGGTAGGTGTGTATGGGGGTGGTGTGTACGGGTGGTGTGTACGGGTGCTGTACCATAGCATGTGTATGGGGGTCACAGGGCAGTTTCCAGGAGTCTGTCCTCTCTTCTTCCATGTTGTGGTTCCATGGATCAGACTCAGGCTGGCAAGCTTGGCAGCAAGAGCCTTCACCCACTGAGCCATCTTGTTGGCCCATAAACTCATTTTTAAGGTTTATTGTTTTGTCTTATATTTTGGTGTTTTTCTCTTTCCTTTATCTTTTTTTTCTAAAAAGAGGAAGAAGGCACAGGCAGATGAAGAAGATGAGGTGGATGAGGAGGAAAGGGAACCATCAGTCATCGACGCTTACGGAGGTACCAGGAAAACAAAGAGAAAAGTGACAGCTGGTAGCCAAGCAGGAAGGGGCAGGACCTATTATATTTCCATGATGCAATCAGCGAAGCTCTACGCGTTTAATTGATTTGTTCTGTAAAACCACCTCTGAGTGGCTCTCACCTAGCTGAGGATTAGCTTTCGACACTGATTCTTCTGCAGTTAGCCAATTATGGTTTCTGCTGATGGATTTCTGAAAGGCGCTTGCAGAAGTTATCTTTTCTGTTTGGGGATTCAACACAGAGCCCTGAACATTCTAGATAAGTCCCTTTACCATTGAGCTGTGACCTGTGCTCTCTGAGAGCTTCCATTATATTATCATGCATTCTTTTTCTTAATATGCTTATGCCTGAGGTAGCTGGAATGAGTGATAGACACAGCCAAAATAAAGTCAAGCTATGTGCTGTCTAATAGACTACAAAAGTGGAGCCAAAATAAAGGGGACCGAGGAGCCCGAAGTGGAAGGAACAAAAAACGGTGAAGATATGGGGTGTATATCTGCACTCCAGTACTCAGGAGGTGGACGAGGGAGATGAGGAGTTCAAAGTCATCGTCACTACACGACAAGTTCAAGACCGGCCTGGGCTCTAAAGGAATCAACTATAACAACAACAACAACAACAAAAAGTTGATTTTTGACAAGGCTCATGAAATTATAAATAATGTTACTGAAATCAGCTTAAGTTGATTAAGGAAGAAAAAGGCAGACATCCAGGCACGGTGGCTCACACCTTGAATCCTAGCACTGGGAAGGCAGAGGCCGGGTAAAGACCCTTAACAACCGGGACCCTTAAAAGCTAATGCCAGAGCATTTCTCAAACTGTTAATCATAGGGATTGTTGCCCAATGACCCAGCAGCTCCACCACTACAGAGATATGTATGTGCAATAACTAGTGTTCCTGCGGCATTATTCATAATGGGCAAAAATTGGAAATAACTCAGACATGCTGCTGAGTGTGCATCCAGACAGTGGTATGTAGACTTGATTCCATTTATAGGAGATGTCCAGAGAAGTCACATACATAGAGATGCCTAGTGGCTGCCTCTGGGCAGAACCGGTAACAAGGAGAGACTGCTAATAGGTCCTTAATTTCTTTGGGAGTCTGAGTGGTGAGATGAAAACATTTTTCAATTAGATAGTAGTGATGTACAATTCTGAATGTATTGCCGGGCAGTGGTGGTGCACGCCTTTAATCCCAGCACTCAGGAGGCAGAGGCAGGTGAATCTCTGTGAGTTCGAGGCCAGGCTGGACCGACAGCCTCCAAAACAATACAGAGAAACCCTGTCTCATAAAAATAATTAAAAAATTCTGAATGTATTAAAAATCCATAAGGGGTCCCAGAGGTTAAGAGCACTGACTTCTTTTCCCAAGGTCCTGAGTTTAAGTCCCAGCAACCACATGGTGGCTCACAACCATCCATAATGAGATCTGGTGCCCTCTTCTGCATGCAGGCAGAACACTGTATACATAATAAATAAATAAATAAATCTTTTTTTAAAAAGCCATTAGGTTGTACACTTGAAAAGGTGTGCAACCTTGGAATTATACAGGGACACATCTCCCCATCTCTTCACGGGCTTCCAATAGGCTACTGCCCTCAGCTCTGAAAAAGCTGATTCTGTTATTACACACCTCTTAGAGGTGATGGCTGTTATGGGTATACCTAAAACAATAAAAACTGACAATGCTCCAGCATATGTTTCCAGTAAATTGGAACAATTTTTCAAATATTATAATATAAAACCTGTAATATAACATCAAATATTATAATATAAAATTGCTTACAATCCCACAGTACAAGCAGTGATTGAAAGATCTAACTGAACCTTAAAAGAGATGCTTCATAAACAGCCAGGTGGAACAAAGACCCCCAAACACAGGTTACATAATGCTTTACTAACATTGAATTTTCTTAATGCTGATGAAAAAGGACAAACTGCATCAGAAAGACACTGGACTATAGAGAAGACTTCTGAACTGAACCAACCGGTGTATTTTAAGGATGTTATGACCTCAGTCTGGAGACCAGGATATGTGTTACGTTGGGGAAGAGGTTTTGCTTTTGTTTCCACAGAAGAAAAGCTTTGGGTTCCATCAAAATTAATTAAGATTCGATCAGAACAGAAGACATCTCAGGAGGAGGAAGATAACAGCTCATCTACAAATTCATATTCTACCATGGGTAAAGTGACCTCCTAAAAGGAAAGAGAAGTGTTTTGGTTTTTGTCTTCACAGGTAAACTTAGCAAAGAATACTAGACATATAGATTCCTGAAGAAGAATGAATAGCTACCCTGAGGACCATCAAACAAACAGTATCTCACTGTGTGGTATCAAAGTCTAAATCTCTCTATATTGTTTTTTATAATACCCTTTTATCTTTGTTTCTTCACATACTTTAGTCCCCATTCATTTAACTTAAGCTGGCTTTGGAGTTGGATTGGCTCTCCTACTCTAAATTCAAGTATATTATTTAAATAAAATTCAGAATTTCTGTATTATATCAAAGAGCCATTGATATAAGACAGAAGAAAATAAAATTAGGGACTGTTATCTGTGGATTTCTTTTTCTGAAAAGTCTAATTTCCTTCAGGTTTACCATCTTCCCTATTGTCACCTCTTCCAATATGCATACATATAAAAGTTAAAATATTTCTTTGTTAACATTAATGTTTGAGTTTTCCAGAGAACAAGGGATTTCCTGACAGCAATCTTCAACTGCTTCAGAAAGAGAATGAGGATCCACTTCCTTGACTCCACCTGATTCGATTGGAGGCATCTGAACTGCCCCACATCATTGACTCCACCTGACAAGCACTATCCTGAAACTGGCTTGAAACTACATCACTCGACACAACTCCGGACCAAGACACTGAAATAGCACATCTTCTACAATCTGGCCAGAGCTTCCGATGAGAGCTTCGATCAACACTAGAACTCCAGTCAGGAACTTCAATCAAGCATCTCCTGCCATACAGAGACTGTCTGATCTACTGAGATTTTGTTACACCAACATTTTTCTTCTCACAGGTCCCCATGAGATCATCATCGTCCCATCTCAGCAGGAAGTAGTTTTGAGAATTCCACTCCCTCTCTCCCTACTATTGATATTATAGGATAGTTTACACCTGTTAGTGTTAGTTTTCAATTATTTTAGAGTTGGAATTGGAAGGAGGTGTTAAGACTTAGGTGTTTCTTTCAGATAAGTTTAGGTTTAGATGGGATAGATGTTTGATACATTTTGATCATTGACACAAGTTAGTTGTTTTAAGTTTAAATATCCTTTTTAGACTAAAAGGGGAATTGTAGGAGGAAAACAATTGCCGCCATTAACCATGACTTACTAGAGGCGCACACAGATGAGGTAATATAAAAGAGCGGTTTACCACACTGCTAACCATACCCACTTTAGGTGAGACTAAAGACGCATACGGGGGAAGGTATAAAAGACTGAACAACGGAAGTCTCTGTCTCTTTTTTTCCGGCTTTCGGCTTCCAGTTCGGCAGCGGAAAACTACTCGGCTCATCTGGGTTACTTGTTTGTCTCTTGTGAGTAATTTCTACAGTAAATACTTATTTTTACTTTCAGTAAGTGTGCTGTTTATCGTTGCAGCATCAGTTGCCCAAGTCAGAAATTGTGATCTTCTTGCTGGTGTTGCCATCCCTGGACCCGAAACGCTCCATGACTTTCACAAGGTTCATGCCTTCTTTCACCTTCCCTGGGACCACGTTTGCCATCCAGCCACTCGGTCTTGGCGGTGCAGATAAAAAACTGGGAACCATTTGTGTTTGGTCCTGCATTTGCCATGGACAAGATGCCAGGACCCGTATGCTTCAGGATGAAGTTCTCATCCTCAAACTTCTCTCTGAGATGGACCTGCCGCCAGTGCCATTATGGCGTGTGAAGTCACCACCCTGACACATGAATCCTGGGATAATTCTGTGAAAGGAGGAACCTTTATATCCAAATCCTTTCTCTCCAGTGCTCAGAGCTCGAAAGTTTTCTGCTGTTTTTCGAACTTTGTCTGCAAATAGCTCGAAGGAGACGCGGCCCAAGGGCTTGCCATCGGCCGCAATGTCGAAGAGCATGGTGGGGTTGACCATGCTGCAGGAAGAGGCGACAGGAGACAGCGGCGTCTGCAAAACACCCATAAAATTATTTTTGTTGCTACTTCATAACTGTAATTTTGCTACTCTTATGAACCATAATGTATGTATCGATATGCAAGACATCTGATACGCAACCCCCAGTCGTTAACTTGGTTCCCAGAACCCAGGTGGCTCACAACTGCCTGTAACTATCTCCAAGAGCTCCAACCACAAACTCTCCAGGCACTTACATTCATACACACATACTGAGCACAGACACATGCAATTTTAAAATGGTATGAAAATAAATCTTTTAAAAAACAAAGTTTCAAAACAAAATAAATATCGTCCCAGGGAAAAATCAAAGGGAAAATGTGAAGTAGCAGGCAGACTGTCTCTAGGACCAGTCTGGCTTCCTGACTGATGTACACTAGAGCATGAAGGCTTGTGGAGCTGTGTTCACACACATACCAGCCGGCTCCAGTCTCCCTCAAGGGTGTCCTTGAATGCAAAAGCAACAATAAACAGCTCAGTGTCCCGAAAGCCCCAGGTAGAGGGAATTGCCGTATCTGAGAGAAAGCGGCTTTCTCTAACTGCATTGACTCAGTGGAACTAACCCTCTAGAAGCACGTTAGAGCTGTGTTTTGTAATTTAGGCCCTCTGTATCACCCACCCCCACCCCAGCAACAAGAAGTCTGGACAAGGACTTACTTCTGTTCACATATTCAGGCTCATAATTTTTACTGTTTTGTTGTTGTGGTTGTTTTTGAGATGGGATCTTAACTACTCCCAGGCTGAACTCAAACCCACTTCATATCTGAGGCTGACTGAATTCCTGATCCTCCTGCCTCTGCTTCCCAAATGCTGGGATGTACTATCATGCCTAGCTACTTGGCTCATAACTGAATTAAGATAAAACACAAACTAGTACTGGGCATTTCCTTTTGCTTATTTTTCCCCACAGATCCAAAATCATGTTTACACCTTATCAAAATAGGAAACAGGGTAAGGATAAAATGCCATCTATATAACCAGAAACCCAGAAACGACCATTATAAACTCATCAGCAGATTCTTTTCTGCTCTTTCTCATGTAGATCCGTATACAAATCACCATCTCCATGAAACCTCAAGATTATTCAACAATACTGTTTCATAGTCTTTTTTTCCTTTCACTTAGTAACATGCCGACAGTTTCCTCACATATTTAAAGTTTTTTTTCATTATGACTTTCATAGCTGAACTATAAAACGATCTTCTAGGTGCATATGTAGGTTTTCAAATTTGGTTTTGTGACATTAAAAACATTTTTTCCAATGACCACCTTGATGTAAAGCTCATGTGATTTCTTCTGGGCTAATTTCTCAAGGTGAAGCTTCTGAGGTCATGATAGCATGATAGCCACATGCTAGGGATTTTAAAAACAGCTATCTCTGTCAGAAATGTTGAGCATCTTTGTGTATCTGTTGATTGCTTAAAGGGGCACTGTTTATATGACTTTCATTCCTACATTGTTTATTTTTAGATATATTTCTCTGTGGGCTGGAGCAGTGGCTCATTGATTAAGAGCACTGGCTCCTTTTGCAAAGGACTTGGTGGGGTTCCCAGTGCCAGAGGATACATGACATCTTCTTCTGGCCTCCAAAAGCACAAGTGCCAGATGTCCACACATACACAGTCAGGCAATCATTAATACAGTTAAACTAAAAACAAATATTTGGGGGGGAGCTTTTTTTGGCAGGTGGCACATGCCTTTAATCCCAGCACTCGGGAGGCAGAGGTGTTGCTGGTTGGCCTGCCGCCCTTCTCAGGCCCAAATAAGCACACAGAGACTTATACGGTGAGGGCTTCTTATCAGCTAGGTTTGTCTTTTTTAATATTTTATTTATTTATTTATGAGTCCCCTATCTGCATGTATGACTTTATGCCAGAAGAAAGCATCAGGTTCCACTATAGATGGCTGTGAGCCACCATGTGGGTGCTGGGAAGTGAACTCAGGACCTCTGGATGAGCAGTCATTGCTCTCAACCGCTGAGCCATCTCTCCAGCCCTAGCTTTCGCTTCATGACTACTAATCTGTAATTTTCTACATGGCCTTATCTTACCAGAGAACACCTGGTGTGCCCTATCCTCCCAGTCCCTCATGGCTACTGTTTCCGGCCTCGCTGCCTCTTTCCCCAGAATTCTCCTCGTCCTAGTCCCGCCTATCTTCTGGTCTCACTGGCCAGACCGTGTTTTATTCATCAACCGATAAGAGAAACATATATACAGAAGGACGTTCCCCCATCATAGAAGCAGGTGGAGCTCAGTGAGTTCGAGGCCAAGGTCTACAGAGTGAATTCTAGGACACGCTCCAAAGCTACACAGAGAAACCCTGTCTCAAAAAACCAAGCCAAACAAAACAACATTCTCCTACTTGATTTCTGCGAACCAATTCGTTGTTGTTTTGAGACAGTGTATCTATACATAGTTCAGGATAGGTTCAGTCGTGTCCTCTTGCCTCAGCCTCCTGAGTGATTGAATTATTAAACATCTCCTCATTAAAATAGTTCTATCTGTATGGGTGTTTTGCTGACATGTATGCAGTGCCCACAGAGACCAGGAGAGG